TGACCTGATGGCCACCCACAGCACTCTCTCCCCACCTCCACCCTCATCCTTACCTTTTCTGTATAGACCTGATGGCCACCCACAGCACACTCTCCCCAACTTCACCCTCATCCTGACTTACTCTGTATTGATCTGATGGCCACCCACAGCACTCTCTCCCCATCTCCACCCTCATCCTTACCTTCTCTGTACTGACCTGATGGCCACCCACAGCACTCTCTCCCCACCTCCACCCTCATCCTTACCTACTCGGTATTGACCTGATGGCCACCCACAATACTCTCTCCCCACCTCCACCCTCTTCCTTACCTTCTCTGTATTGACCTGATGGCCAACCACAGCACTCTCTCCCCACCTCCACCCTCATCCCTACCTACTCTGTATTGACCTGATGGCCACCCACACCACTCTCTCCCCACCTCCACCCTCATCCTTACCTACTCGGTATTGACCTGATGGCCACCCACAGCACTCTCTCCCCCCCTCCACCCTCATCCTTACCTTTTCTGTATAGACCTGATGGCCACCCACAGCACACTCTCCCCAACTTCACCCTCATCCTTACTTACTCTGTATTGATCTGATGGCCACCCACAACACTCTCTCCCCACCTCCACCCTCATCCTTACCTTCTCTGTATAGACCTGATGGCCACCCACAGCACTTTCTCCCCACCTCCACCCTCATCCTAACCTACTCTGTATTGATCTGATGGCCACCCACAACACTCTCTCCCCACCTCCACCCTCATCCTTACCTACTCGGTATTGACCTGATGGCCACCCACAATACTCTCTCCCCACCTCCACCCTCTTCCTTACCTTCTCTGTACTGACCTGATGGCCACCCACAGCACTCTCTCCCCCCCCCCACCCTCATCCTTACCTTCTCTGTATAGACCTGATGGCCACCCACAGCACTTTCTCCCCACCTCCACCCTCATCCTAACCTACTCTGTATTGATCTGATGGCCACCCACAACACTCTCTCCCCACCTCCACCCTCATCCCTACCTACTCTGTATTGACCTGATGGCCACCCACAACACTGTCTCCCCACCTCCACCCTCATCCTTACCTACTCGGTATTGACCTGATGGCCACCCACAATACTCTCTCCCCACCTCCACCCTCTTCCTTACCTTCTCTGTATTGACCTGATGGACACCCACAGCACTCTCTCCCCACCTCCACCCTCATCCTTACCTTTTTTGTATTGACCTGATGGCCACCCAAAGCACTCTTTCTCCACCTCCACCTGCATTGCAGTATGGGTGGAAGAATCCAATGACAGGAGTTACCTCCCCTGCTTTAGTTTTTCTAATATGTGGGAGCTGGAACGCTGACCGGCGCTGTATCCAGTACCGCAGGAATGTGGTTGCTATGGCAACTACGATGATGAATATGACACAGATACAGATCAATGAAGTCAACATCTCTGACAGAAAGCTGCAAAATATCAAAAAGAAATATAAATTATCAGTCTATGCATCAAAAATTGGTATTTTTGTATTTACTGATTTGGCTTCTTGATTAAAAAAATATTGCTAATATTGCACCAAATTAGCAAATATTTTAAGGCCATCTGTTATATTT